TGCCGCGAATTCACAATGTTGCACAGAGATTCGGAGACACAAACGACAGTACCTACCGGTTGTGTTTTCCGAAGAGAGAAAGAGGAGAAAACTTTTGAGGCTAAAAAGGGTTTTCAAGAAACTATCAGCTGGCTGCCACATATCACGATTAGATAGATACATGAAAAGTCAACCGTTTGGCTGAAACATTATTTCGGTGCCTAGATGTCATGTCATTCGAAGGAAGTACCAGCTCTGAGATACTGCTAGGTTGTCCCGGCCTAGACAGGAGCAGTCAAAATGCAGAGGTGAGGTTCGAACCACGCAGCTTTCGGTCGGTAAGTCTGTGCCTTGAACACGGAGCTATCTCACACCCAGGAGGAGAGAGAGAGAGAGAGAGAGAGACAAACATGCGAGAGAAAACACATAAAATATCACTCGGTCTCATTCAAGTAACAAATGTGAGTAATTAGCTGTCAAGTCCCAGATGTTGTTTGCCCTGACAACTGACCGGCTGTGTCCTGATTACTAGGTTCACTCGGCTGATGTCCTCTAGCCAACCTTATCTGTTAGCGTAAGCTGGATTCGCTCATTCTGATAGAACTCCCAGCACGAGTGTCAACAGGTTTTGAAAGTTTAGGCGCGATTCTATGTACCAGGTTGAAGTCCCATGTCTGCCTGGTGGTCAATAGTAGCGTTCCTGAGTGTTGTAGTTAGTGGCAGTTGATCATCAGCGTCCGAGACATCAGTGTTGACAATGATGCTTCACTGCTATACGACCATGAAGTTCGTCTAATTATACATAAAGCCCTAGAGTGAAAAGAAGAGAAAAAGAGTGGGTGAAGGAGGGAACCTAGTGCTGACTATGTCGAGTATTCTGAGGTGCCTAAACCTCCAAGCGCTCAATCAGACAATCTGGAAAGAACCCCATTGACATCGATTAGCCGCCATTTCTTGAAATGTCTCCAGTCAACCACAGGTGGGGTCCCGGCGACCCCATCCTGGAAGGTGTGTGTGTCTACTGAACAATCAAATATCCGTTACCTCGTTACGAATTCGTTGACGCAATCCGGTACAAGAAACGCTTATGGGGCATGGGTGATAAAAAACTGAAGACGCTTCACATCGTCTGTCCTAAGAGGCTGTTTCGCAACCACACATCAATACAGCCCTTACAGTAGCCTGGGACACTTGACCCTTGAGACCCAGTGATTTGCCTTTTTGACGCCACAAGTGACACAAATCCGCAAACGTGATTCTGGCCTTTGAGATTCGTGCACTAACTTCACCAGGCACACTTCACTGTCACTGATAAAGACGGAAGGCTGGCAGGTCGTTCGACCAACGTTAGGGACATCATCGACATACATGAACGGATAGACCACAATGGATTAGGTCAACATCGACAAGCTATGCTTGTTAGTAAACCGATGAACCAGCAGAACTGTTGTATAGTAGGTGGTCGTCTGTTGGGTTATGCCTGCACTGAGCCTGCCAGACTACGCGATAGGGAGAAGACAGAGAACTCGGGACACGGCTGTATTGTCAGGACAAAACGTACAGAGGTTCTGCGTAAATATATAGGATGAGTAAATGGCCAAATATGGTCGTTCTGTACAGCCAATGGCGGTGTTCCGGTAGTGAACAATTTCAGGCCCACTCCGCCGGTCGTATGTTGCTAAGCCGTGTTTGGTGAGCTCCGCCAACGCACCTGCTTTCCGGACGTGTCGTACCGATGGCGACCTTGGGAATGGGTCACTGCACACGTACTTTTCTCATATCTGCGCGCGTCCTAAGAAGAGCATCTCGAAGGCCGAGCCTCCTTTGAAATGCGATTCTAGAAACAGGCGCCCATTTACTACTGTTAACAATGTAGACTTTTGGGGTGGCTATTCGATATTGCTATCGATGCACCACTCAGGGAATCCGTTTCCAGCTGTATTCGTCCAGTAACGCATCAAACGAGAAGATATTCCGAGTTCCTGATGACAGACATCTCACGGAATTACGCAAGACGAGGCCATCAAAATTCGTCGCTCTACTAATCTACCTGGTGTATGTTCGAGAAGAGGGCTACGACTTTCTTCCGGTTCTAGAGTAAAGCATACGCGATTGAAACTGTCCAGTGCACCCAGTTCGTGTTAACGTACAAGGTTGGCTGAACCACTCCAACCGAAGTGGTCTAGTAGTCAGCTACCGGGCCAAACAGCCAAGTGCGTGCATTCATTACTGGACAATTGGATGAGGCCGAGTGACATGTCAGCTCTTCCAATCGTGAATAGTGTTTATCTTTCATTTTTCCCTCTCTAATCGTAATTGCATCGATCAGCTGGTGATCATCTGGAAACCTTATTGCTAAATCAACGTGACCCAGAGAATATACACTCATTTGCAAACTAACCTGGTTTTTCGAGAGACTCACCTGGAACCCAGCTGAATCTCTCGGTTTTGATGTATATTCGCTAATTTCGTGCAATTTGGTTTCAAGTAGAACATAAGGTTGACGGAAACTCGGGGACTGCGCGTACCTGATGTGCCCCAAAAATGGCGAAACCGGCCGTGGGCTGTCGAGGAGTTTTCGGCAACATTATGAGTAGTGCATTACAAGACGCGGCTTACATCCGGTCCGAAACCTAGCTGCGCAGAACTCGTTAGTCAGATTTAAAATGGCCTGTCGGTTTGGAGAGTGGAAAATACATCCCTATTGTACGGAAACAAGCGCAGAAATTAGGTTAGTCTACTGAAATTGTTTCAACTGATGAAAATTAACAAACCCTCAAATCCAGCGTTCCTGCATGATCTTGTAGTGTATACTATTAGCTGGGCAATGATCCGTATACCTTTCGAATTCCGAGTCTGCTTCGAAAGGGACCTCACAAGGTAAAAACCATCTGTAGACGCGCGTCACCCTTGCTTTGCGTCGACATCTCGCCATGGGTTCACAAAAGTACCTCTCTGTTACTGGCTGCACCTTATTAGCCATTGTATTGAACCAACGGACGGTCTCACCACCAATGTGACTGACGCGCTAACCGCACAGCATCATTACCTGCAGTCGATTGCACAGTGCCGGATAAAGAACGGACTTACCTAAGGTGCTTGACTGCCAACGACGGCTGTGGTGGTGTCGACTTTCGTTTGTCTCGGCAGCTGTTTAGAAATCAGTGGTCGAGAAACCCGGGCCTCTCTCAAGCTTTCGGAGCCCGAATACAACTATCCAGGAGGCACAATTCATTTCCTGACCGAGTTCCAGCAGCCCCTGACATACTCCACTTGCTGGATTTAGTTGGATTAGGGAAACTGTGCGCGCATCGTGTTCCGACGCTAACAGTGCAGACGGCGTTCGGGCTCATCGGATTGCACGCACGGGGCTTTCCCATTGAAAAAAGTCTGCGGAATGTGTACGGTCCACACAACGCTGTAATTGCCGTTAAAAATATACATGGGCTCATAAACTGGGTAGAAGGGCAATGGGAACGACGCACCATGTACTTATCGTCGTAGTTATTACAAAATGAGACTACCGAGATAACTATTGCTAAAGTTAATTTATTCAATCAACAAAGATCGTCGCCTCAATTTGCCGTCTCGCTGGTTTTGACCCGAGGACGGCTGGCCGAACCCTGATGCGCACAACAATCCAGATACGGGACATCGCTTGGCCAGACTATGAAAGGGAAACACCAATCGCTGAACGACTGTAGATCCAGTTATCGGACAAGAGAATGCACACGTGTGCGCGGCAAGGTGATCCAAACATCGTACCATAACACCCACCAGACGAATGTACACCGTTTGATCGAGAAAAACGGGAATGAATACTAACCAACACCCTCCATCTTGATGAATTACACTGAGCAATCGACAATGCATTCCATTTTGTGTTAATCACACCAGCTCCCGAATGCACACAGATCTCTCAAACACCCTATTTCCTACATGAGCACCAAACTCGATTCCCGCCAGCCACGCCTGAATTCCAGACAGGCGGAAACCGCCAGTTCGATATCAGCAAATTTTTGTCCACCTTCTAAACGACATATTACCAGTAGGATGAGGTTTGACCGACTTCTGAGGACAGTATTAACAACAGGAATTTCCATCAACCACACATTAGAACCGGCCAGTCACCGAAATTCGGACGAATTTTGGTGTACACACATCGTTCGGCTCCGGAATCTAAACCTTCCAGCTGCAGCACCCTGTGTGTGACTAGCCGAAATACTGCCGGGCGGCCAAGGCCTAGAAAGAAGCCGAGAGACAGAGGTCGGGCTCGAACCAGTCAGTAAATTCGAACTCTAAACGCTGAGCCATCTCGCCCCTGTTCGGCTCCGAGAGTGGTTGGCGAATGGTACATACAATGCGGTCGGTCGTGGACAGTTGGCGAATGTTCGCAGCTGCCATTGACCCGCAACGACGCATAAAAGAAATTACGGAAACGCTGCCACCTCCCAAACGTTTGCAGCTTCAAAATCCGTCAATATTTTTAATACCAAATTTCACCGATTATTGTGAAGCCAAATGTGGTTGGTCGGCTGAAACCACACCCCTCGGTACAGGATGTTGTAATTGTATGCATGCTGAACTGAATCGAGCGTGGGACTCACTTCGTAGGTGAACACATAAAACTCAGAGCGACCACACCCCTCGGTACAGGATGTTGTAATCGTATGCATGCTGATGAACTGAATCGAGCGTGGGACTCACTCCGTAGGTGAACACATAAACCTCAGAGCGCATACCTTAATTAGTTTCGGTAGAGTAGAGGCCCGATTCCCCTCGATAGGGCGAGGGGTCTGGTAGTATTTTCGGTGGCGAGCAGAAATCGGTTCGCCAGTCGTTAAGTAACCTAGCTGCCCTTCTCTCCTGATGATATTGCACTGATTTCCGCGATTACTCAGAAGGAAAAAGAAGCCTGCTGATGTCCTATCACTAACGGGCGGTGAGTAACTGGAGCTGTCAGCTTCTAGCTGCACAAAGTGGTCCAGCTGTTCTGTTTTTGTGTTGGAGACTTTCACGTATTAATCAAACGGAAGTACGTACGACAAAAAATAGAACGACCTTCGATGGGACCTTCGATCTCTTTTCCCGGACGAACGCAGTACCAGTCGAACAACAATGAGCGACGCCCTGCATTGCACAGAAAACCTCTACCCATGTCACTACATTATTACGCCGTTTTCAGCGATTCGGGATATGCTTGGGGCAGACTCACCCCCCCCCCCGCGCAGAAAAGTAACCGTAAACGCAACAAGTGGCTTGACAGTCAGCACCTTTAGTAATCCGATGACTACACAAAGACCAATATCCACCAGGGGAATTCGAACAGGAAACATACATTCAAGTCCAACCTTAGAACACCTGAAAGCTCATAAATGTCATCCACAGTTATGCATAATTGAACAGCTTGGCGAATCCTGAATCATTTGTCCAACGTCGAACACCATCTGCGACGGCTCGGTTAGTAAAGAAATTACCAGATGAGCGAATGTCGTGGGTTCGAGTTTCACCATTACATTAGTTCCTACCCAAGATGTCGTAACTCCCGCACCGCAGAGAAAGAAAAGACCGAACTCCTTGAGGGGACCATCTACTAGACATTAATTGATGAGGAACGCCATCGTGAACAACTAAGGAGAGTTTACTGAGCAGGCGAAGCGAATCAGCCTTAATCTGTCGTTCCGAGGCCACGCACACACAGCTCCGGAACAAAAATCAGACTAGCCAGAGAAATCCTTACCAAACAGGTTCTTCCAATGCTTCATAGTAACTTAAGCACACACAGCAACCACTGAATTGAGAAATCAGAAAGTTTTTAAACTGTCTCTGATTCCACCTTTATAATGGCTCTTCAGGCATCAAAACCACACTGAGAGGTGAAGAAGCTGCCAAGACTGACAATTTATTTAGGAAAAGAGAACAGCAGCTAAAGTAAGGGACACGAGTGCGAGAAATGCCAAACCATTGACTAGTATGGATGATAACACGAGTACCAGTTCAATTTTAATCAGATTAGGGTTTGCGGAATTTCTCTCCGGCATATTTGGCCGAAGACCCGAGATCCTCCTCGATACGGAGAAGCTGATTGTACTTAGAAAGACGTTCCGAGCGGCATGGAGCACCAGTCTTGATCTGCGAAAAGTAAGCGATGAAACAGGTTAAGACTTGAAATCAAGGAGAATCAAACACTAGTTCAGGAAGGCGGGACAAAAAGTAAGGGCAAAAGCTGCTCCGCAGATACAGACAGCAGACGTGAAATGGAAAACGAACAGTGCAACGCTACAATAGAACACTGTAAGAAAATGGCTGTTGGCCAGGGGACTGCGTTTTCCGCCAGCGTGGATTCCACTTCAGAGGAAGCTAAGGAAGGCTTACTTTTGTCAAGACAGGTTTTTTGGGAGAAAACCCAAAAATGCCGCATTTGTATTTAGTTTTGGAGCTAATTTCTGCAGCCTCACGTTTCGTTAATCACGGCATTCGCCAGATTTAGGCACAGTTAACCGTATGGGACACGTTTCGTTAATCACGGCATTCGCCAGAGTTAGGCACAGTTAACCGGATGGGACGATGAGTGATAGTCAGTACAACACTAGTAGTCGAAGCCATTTATTCAGACTACGGTGGCCTAACCACAGTGCCAAGTCATTAGCAGCTTCCACGCCATGAACAGCCCGGTATTCCTGACTACCGTTCTTTATACAAATAAACAACAGGCTGATTTTTTATTGCTCGGTTGACTCTACTTAGTCTACACATCGGTCCTAATTTGTCGATATTATTTCGGAACGGTTCAACAGGATAACTGAAAGAATAATTCATAAGTCACGCTGGAAAGAACATTCAGTAATGTGGGAATGAAACTATTGTTTTCCCTGCCTCACAAAGAGATGCCTCTTTGAACTTGTCAGGGAGTACTACCCTGGGAGTACCTTACGAGATTGAACAGCGGTGGTTTTCCAGTGATCTTTAGACAGCGCGAAATCAGCACATATCACCCAAACACATTGTTGCCACAAATTCTATCACACTTTCAGCGAGTGCGCGAAAGAAACTTGTAGACAGTGAAGAGTCACATTTTGGCCATAGATGAGGCAGCGGCTATTTGGCGCTCACATCCGACCGTATTCCGTTCTACGGGCATCGCCTAAAAACCAATCCTGTTTGCTGCACGCACTAGACACAAGCTTCACGATGCAACGGTCGGTGAGCGAAGGAAAGTGCAGCATTAAATCGATTTTATGGCGCTGTATCAGCCAGCCGTACTCGGAACTAAAAAGTCTATGTGAAGTCACACTACATTGCCCCCAGGCTATCAAGATCGATGGCGGAAAACCCAACGATATTCGGTTAGATGACATGGCGCACATGTGATCCAGTTTGAGGAAAGCGAGAACACCGAAACCCATAGACCGAATGGTTGTTTTTTTATGCGTTTAGTTACGGTGTTCATTGTGAAAGTTGGAAGAACCTGAAAACTAGTGGAGAATCTTTCAAGGGAAATTTCGTCCCCTAAGCGAAGTCAACCTTCACTTAAAGGTCGAAAATAACCGCTAGTTTGTTTCATCCGTAATCGGAATCATCGGCTCAAGAATCTCCAAGGTGAGTTGTGAGGTAAACATATTGCTCGTCAGTCCCCAGTCGCCGAACAGTTGTCCTAAGCCACTAGAAGAGAGGTCGCAGAGTGCCGAATGGAGTTTCGTGAGATGCGGACTGCCGGTGATTCCCACTGAGAATGGAACAGCTGAACAGTGCTTCTCAAAACAGACCAAATTCACTTACGGGAAGAAAACCCCATTGACAAACTCTTCAATTTCCACTTACTACCGACAAACTTGGATAGTCTCAATGTCAGAAGGATTCTGAGAAACAATACCGTGAGAAAAAAGGATATTGTAAAAGAGAAGTACAGAGCAGTTGAGATACAGAGGGAGGGTTCGAACAAGAACATTCTGGTAAGTTCGCACCCTAACCATTGAGCCATCTCAGTACGCTGCTTTTCTTTATAGAGTATTCTCCCATACATCCAACAATTCACTCAAGAATACACATATATGGTTGTACGAGTTCACGTACGTTATTCCCCCTTATTTCTCATATATCAGAGTTCGTATGTTTCTTTGAAGAAGTGCCGTGCGATTTAACCGTAATTCTAATCATTCGTGAGTGTGAGATGTGCTCGGCCCAAAGATCAGTGAACTGTGAAAACAGTTACACAGACAACAGCAAACCACCTCTAACTTGAAAACACCGGAAACAGAAAGAATAATCCACAACGTGTAAAAACAACAGGGCTCCTGTTGTCACTGACCTGACCCGTTCGAAGACCAACAACGAGATCGGCGATGAAGTTGTCTTCGGTTTCCCCGGATCTGTGAGAGACCATGACACCCCAGCCCGCACCTTGAGCCATCTTGCAAGCCTGGATAGACTCAGACACAGACCCAATCTGGTTGACCTTCAACAACAGGCAATTACAGGCCTTTTTGTTGATAGCCTCCTGCACGCGAACCGGATTGGTAACGGTCAAATCATCCCCAACAATCTGAAATTAGAGGGGGCGCAATCTACAGATCTGCCGATAAGTGTCAGATCACAGCAGGCTGTTCATGCAGTAGAGTAACGTACTAACCTGAATACTTGTTTCACCTGTGAGCTTAGCGAAAGCTCCCCAGTCATCCTGGTCGAAAGGATCCTCAATGCTCACAATGGGGTATTTGCCTATCATACTTTTGTAGACATCACCCAATGCGTCCGACGAAATCCAGGTGTTCGGAGGCGAGTTTGGATTTTTGAAGTCCAGATCGTATTTGCCGTTTTTGTGGAACTCAGATGCAGCAGAATCCATGGCGATTTTAACCTTGCCAGTGTAACCAGCCTTAGCGATTGCTTCGCTAAGAAGTTGCAAACCTGGAGACGAACAAACAGATGGCAGTGAAGCATCAGTCTCAAAACTGGTATTCAAACAATTTAATTTGGAAATCTGAAGAGCCCTACGACGTGGATAGATTCAGCTCTAACCTTGTCTCATATAAGTTCACACACACATCTGGCCCAACTGAACAAGGGAGTTCCAAAATCGCTATTTTTGGAAAACCCAAAAAGCTCTTGGGCATTCCACATGATCATCGTCGTCGTCGTCGACAACATGACATTAGTATTCAACATCGGAGCTTTGCTGGCTTAAGTCCATATGATAGAGTGAGGTGATTGGTTATTGAGAACTAAATTGGACGAGTTCAAATGCTTATAACATCAGCCGCCCGATGAGCTGATCAGGCGACACACAAGCACCAACTAGATGAGTTAAGTGTCCTAGGATCAAAGCACCGGGTCAATTTCGACACATGGCGTTGTGACCGACTCTCAGTGTAAATAATGCAAAATACTCTATGGACATTACGTATGTTCTGATTCCGGAGTTGAATTTAAAAATGCAAGAAATACGACATGGATGTACTTGAGCCGGAATCATTACTGAGGCGGCAAGCTGACGACGCAAATGCTCCGCAACTGTTGAGTTAAACGAAAGTGTAATGCGGTGTACCCAAAGAATAGAATCCAGCTAGCTATTTATTTGGTAAAAAAATAAATGGCGATGAGGGTTGGAGTGGACGACTACAGCAATCAGTTCGAACACTGTTCAGTCAGCAACCGTCGCACTGAAAGCGGTGTGCGTGGAAAAGAACGAGGCCTACAAGGTTTACACGTGGTGCATCCAGCACGCAAAAAATTCACCCGGGTGACTAACTCTTGTCTGGTCCCGGTAATCAATCTACTGATAAGACGTACACACTGTGTCAAGATAAAGGGAACCTTGTAAGGGATTTTATTGACAAACCTTCCATATTGTCTTGGATGTTTGGTGCAAAACCACCCTCGTCTCCAACGTTGCAGGCGTCCAGTCCGTACTTGGCTTTGATAACGGACTTCAAGTTGTGGTATACCTCACTACCCATTTGCATGGCCTCCTTGAATGAGGTCGCACCCGTTGGCATGATCATGAACTCTTGCATGGCCAATTTATTGCCGGCGTGACTCCCACCGTTGATCACATTGAAAGCGGGGACGGGTAGGATGACATCGTTGTTTCCAGCCAAACTAGCAATATGGCGGTAAAGCGGTAAATTCTGTAGAAATCAAAAGACAAGGATATTGAACAGAGTTTTTCCTTGGTGGCACAAAAGTGCAATCGTATTAAGAATGGAGGTGACGGAATGATCAAAATATTGGGCAGAAACATTTGGATGCAGAATTCCCAGTAGAACCTTTTGTGCCGAATCTCAAACACGCACAAACAAATGTCGCCAGATGAATTAGTATAAACCCGAGAGCCTAATAGAGTTGGGCAACATTCGAAAGCTGCACGGGAAGAATACTTCCCCACCCCCTAAGTTGGTCACGTAGAAAAACGAGATCGCCCGGAGGAGATTTACTCACAAGTGCGGGAATTACGTGAATTCAAAAAAGCCCAGTTACTGCTCGTCCAGTTCGCATAAGCTTCTTCAGGGAACCACACATTCAGCAGGCTCAGTATACCTTTTGCTCGTAGACCTGAAGGTAGGCACTGAGTAATCAGCTCCGGAATGATGTGACAAGCGCACCACAACGGCACTGTAAAGGGCTGCGCATGCCGTTCACGGACGAGCAAACGCGGGGCTTAGCGAGCTTCAAAGGATGGAATATCAAGTGTGTCAACATTTGCAACACTGTATACATGCATCCGGTTTTTAGGGGAAACACTTATGAGGAGGTAATCGACAGTGATGAATCCAGATTCTTTTCCAATTTTTTTTCCTGAAATGGTGGATAGAATATCCCTAACATGGAATGCTGCAAGGATCGACCTTCCGTATATCAAAATGGTGTGAACTAACAAGAAATCGAAGTGTACCTATCGGTATGTGGCAAGCTAAGCTGCACTCCAAAGGAATGTCAACTGAGGGATCGGACGTTTGAACCGCAATACAATCAAATAACCACTTAGGCAGAGGTCGATGCAATCATACACAGGTAACTCACTCGTTGAGCAGCCCCGGCTTTACAAACAGCAAGAGATACCCCGAGGATGGCGTTCGCACCAAGTTTCTCTACAACGAAAGCGGATAAGGTCATTAGATATATGGGAAAGTGACACTGGCTTGGAGCAGTAATATGAAGCGCCTACAAAGTGAGCAAAAGCAAGCAAGCGGGATGAAGTCCAAACTCGATCACTTCCTGGCTATCACTCACCTTTGTTAGCAGTGCCGTCCAGCTGCAGCATGATCTTATCTATCTCGCCTTGGTTTTCTACGCTAATACCGCATTTCAGAAGAGCAGGCGCGATGATTTTGTTAACATTTTCGACTGCTTTCGTCACTCCTTTGCCCATGTAAACTTTGCCACCATCGCGAAGTTCCAAGGCTTCATGAACTCCGGTAGAGGCTCCGCTAGGAACAGCGGCCCGAAACAAACCTAATGCAGAATAAGAACAAGAGTATCGAAGTTCCTTAGGATCAATACACGGTTAATTCATAGGATAGTTTGTTATTAAACACATAGGTTGGATTTGGATGACATAATGGGAAATAAGTATTACTGTCTGTTTGAAACTCTGGTGGTTAGGATTCGCGGTTACGATAACGCACCATTTCAAGTTTTTTTGTTAGAACAAACAAGCAACAAACGCAGACACTAGTTAGATACCAAAACAATCCGCCAGTTACGACATCCTCGGGGACTTACTGTCAACAATTTCGCAATTCAAGGTCTACATAGTGGGTAATTTACTCTTTTCCCACCTAGATTCATAGCATTGTCAATTTGCATATACAGCTGAGTGTGGAAAAGAGAACCCATCGATATGTGTATTTATGGATAGATACTTAAACTGACTGAAAAAAGATGCGGAGGAACCAAGCCTAACATAGTCCTGCTAAAACCCATCTTAAAACGGAACAGGAATATGTTGGGATTTACCTTTGTCGGTTGTCAGATCAACTTCCACCGTTGGGTTGCCTCGACTGTCAAAGATTTGTCGGGCGTGGATTGCCTTGATCGCCATTATATCTGAAACACAACGAACACAACTGGTAAATGGAACCTGCAAACCTTGAAGGACAACCTTGGATGAAAGTTGTGTGAAACAAAAAAACACTTGCACAAAGTTATATTTGGCTATCTAGTTGCTGACAAGACATGAAAGTTGCCGTCTGTAATTATGTATACTGTTCGGGGTTTACAAAGTTATCCCATTCGGACTTGTCGCGCCATTCTTTCAAAGTAACCTCGATGTACGGGTCCAGATAAGGAATATCATTTTCAACGGTAGTCCATTGTTCTTTAGGGAGCACGGTTTTAGTTGCTGATAGTTGGAACGCGCGAGCAATGCGGAAATCACGTGCCTCTGTCTCCTCTCGGGGTAGGCGGCGAACCGCTTCGGCTACCACAGGTGAATGCTGCATGATATCATGATACAACAGACCGAGCTGATTGTAATAGGACGTGTTCATTTGGAAGCCCTTGATCTTCTGCTGCAGATCACTCATTTGTTTCCAACGCAAACGGTAAGCTGCAGCCACATGCTCGACGCTGGCACGAAGGGTTGACATCTTCTAGAAGCTAGAAAACAAAATGAGAAATTCAACAGATGAATTAGGTTACAACAACGAGTATAGTACAAATTCAGAGGTGAAATGAATAAAATGATGGCGACAAACATGTGTGCACCACTGCTCACCAAGTGAGGCTGAGTGGAAGCCCACTAAAGTTCCCACACATTTACCCGCTTATTGTTTCGAACCTTTTGATCTGGCTAAAAGAACATCTTTGAGCAAACGGCTTGTGTCCAACTGTGAGCACTAGTTTGTGTGGATTAATGGGACGGCCGGAAAGCAACGTACATCCCTATGGAACACGAAGAGTTCCTCCCACCTACTTTCTCAAGATTTCGCTGCTGTGATCACGTGCTCCTCAGTTTACCAACCATACACTAATCCACTGCAGTCTATCCAGAAGAAGTGAAGCTAGGACATGCGCTATTACCGCAGGAATATGTTAGATGTGACAGCGTTTTTGGAGTGAACTTACTGCATGAGAAAACAAGTCACGCACACTTTGAATAGCCATCAACCCCCCGAACCACCCATATATCATCAATACAGTTTGGTAAGGCACAGCTAGAACGCATTCACACGTACAGTAAATCCGTACTTAACCTCATTTCATCGAGCACCACAGATCCAGTCCTGATGAGCCCTAGATTGCTCATTTTCACATAAGAGATCACGAAAGCAAGGCAAGGCAAAGTACATGGGCGGTTCATGCTCCGACGGGATTTGTTTGAGAAAATCCGGTAAAAGTACGCCAAGCCTAGACCGGTGTCGTTCGGATAGCACCAGTGAGTAGAAGAACAGCAGCTGGAAAATCATCCTATTCCGGTTAGCTCTGTTCACCCACATCCGAACAGTACCGATTCCTAATGATTTTAGGAAAGGATTAACAGTATGTGCCTCCATTCTGCATCCATACGAACACGCCGAGAAATAACTAAGCAAATTGACGATAACAGCAGCAAAGGAGGATCGACAGAGAACCCACTGAACAATCACGTGACCGTTAGCAGGTTGGTAGAGACCCACACCTTCAGAGAATAACGATTGGCCGTAGAGTGAACCGACTCAAACGGAAGTGTGCTGTTGCACGAGAAGTCAGAGCCACTCAAGGCATATTAGCAACTCGATTTTTTCTACAAATTAAGCTAAAAATAAGAAAATATCTGTGGAGAAAGTTAGCAACTCGATTTTTTCTACAAATTAAGTCAGTATGGTGCTAAAAATAAGAAAATGTCTGTGGAGAAATTATCTTTCTACACACTGAAGTGATCAATAAGGACTTAATGTCCTGCAGAGGATTCTTCGTATCGAGCGATTTTCACCGGTCTCCAAAGGAAAATCAATACATTCGAGTAAACCTAGGAGTCGGACTATAATTGGAGCTTCGGCATCGCTCGTCAATTTGGCTGCAAACATTGGACATATTCATTGACGTCAGTGGATTAATGTTGCGATTACCGGAGGTCTGAGATACCAGGAAAGTAGAATCTTTTCTTCTTGGTGCGGTGGCTCAACGGATTACGGGCCTGTGGAACTTTGTCTTGTGAACTGTATCAAAACTTCCTTGGGTTGTTCTACTTGTGACTTTACATCTGACTTACATTATTTTTGTTCCGTTCGTTCGACTCCATAGGGTTGATAACCCCTACAAAGGAGCGCTCTAGACTCTTCCCCATCCCTTTAATCTATCATATGAACAACAACAAAAAGACTGAAAACTTTTCACTAAAATATCAGGCTCCATAGTCAGCAATGGCAACATACCAGTAATAAACACTGGTACTCAACTGCTATGCAACCATGAAGAAATGTTGTGGTAGAGTAGAAAGTATGAGGTGAGAAAATCAACGCAGCTTTATGTCTCTATGAAGAACGACTGAGACAGGGTATCTTCACCCTGGAACAGCAATGAGGTAAACGCACCCGAGTATCAAAGTGAAGTAAGACGCCATAAACCGAATTTACCTGACGTCCTTTGTGAACCTGAGTCAAAATAATCCCATCATACAAAACCTTAGCTGGGCAGTTCCCTCGCCGCTTGGAGCGGTTACGTACTATCCTGCAACGTCTAGTCAGGAGCAAGGATAATCACATGGGCCCCAACCAGAAAGCCCTACGAAGATGAATCGCCGTAATGAACAGTGCTTTCAAATTGAACTTCCTTGCTCTATCTGAACTATTGTTTTAAACACCCCCCACCCACCTGCAGACCACAAACGCCCGTGTGTTTGAAAAACGTCCGCGTCTTATAGCAGGCGTTAACTGGCTGCAGGGGGCGAGATGGCCCAAGTGGTTAGAGCGTGAATTTACTGACCGGAACGTCCGTGGTTCGAACCCGACCTTTTCCTCTCGACTTCCCCTGTATAGGATTGGGCAACCTGGCAGTATCCCAGCCCCCGTGCAAGCTGGGTGGCATGACAGCTAGGCACCGAAAGGGTGCTACAGCTGGGCGATTTTTTTCTTTAACCGGCTGCAGTATGTACGCAATGGGACGGTATGTAAGCGAGTACTAAGTAAAAAAAATATATGTCGTTCAGCCGGATCGAACTCGACCTCTGCCTCTCGACTTCCCTTGTCTAGGCTTGGGCAACCTGGCAGTTTCTCAGTTCTCGTGCTTCCTTTTGGTGGCACGGCAGTTAGGCACCGAAAGGGTGGTACAGTTGAACAACCTTCCAGTCAGTAAATCCGCGCTCTAACAACTGAGCAATTACTAGGCAATAGTAAGGCTCTCCGGAACGTCGGAGGCTCACCAGCTTAAGAGGCTTGTATCGCTTGCACCTGAATAACATCGACATCATGTTTCACTTCAGACTTTTGGTGACCAAATGTTTGCAGGCGACAGGCTATGTGGTCCCGCGAAATGAAAGTCACAACAGTCATTTTACACATTCTGGGATCTTTTGGCTTTTTAAGTGAGGTCCAGGTGATTCGCTTTGCGTGAGGTTGGAAACCTGGAGATAAGCTTGCTGTCATTCCTTAGACGGACCGTCAAGCGACAGTGTATGGAACTTGTGTTGGATAAAGTTCGAAGGGGACGTTAGGTGGATCCCGGTGATGGTGTTTCGCTTCCACGTGATGCTAAGATGTATTTGTTTCACCGGTTCTGGAAGATGTAGGTAACTCGCTCTTGGCTGCTACTTGAAAGGGCGTCTTTCGACGAGTCTCTTCCGTTTCTCACATCTTACTACAGTCCTTTTCCCTGGGTATGACGGTTAAGCATCATCACTGATATACTGCTGTCCACTGGGCGAGATGGATCACGTGGTTAGAACCTCGACCTAAAGCTGTTACCTTGTCGTGGTGGTCGGGCTTCTGTGCTGCAATAGTCCTGCGGGATATATTGGCTAGAACTCAGTTCCTAAAGGTTCAACCATGCCAGGAAGGCCAACGGAAAACAACCCGACGAAGAACAGCGAGTCCGCGCACTGCCAGTAATCGTATTACGAGGCGGTCTGGAAGTAAAGTCGTACAGTCCTCTGCGATAGGAGTGTGAAGGGAGTAAGGTGTTTCCCCAGACGACCATCATGTTCATATTTATGGAAGCAGTGATGCTACCTTCCCCCGAGAAAGGACGGATTAGAAAAGGTCGACCCTACACCCGGAAACTCCGAAAACCCAACGGTTGACCGTGACTGCCGGCGCATTATTTAATACGGTCGGAGTACTTCTACAACCAAAGAGCTCGGTGCTGCTCAAAAGGTGCTTGTTGTGCGCAGCCGCATCACCAGACAGTAATGCCTCGCTGCCTGCACCTCTGGCCAGGCCGTCCCCTTACAGCCAAGCAGGTCAGACTACTGGGTCATTGGCCCCAATAAGCGACTCCCAAGAAAGCCCTAACAGCCGCTGTCTCGCGGTCCAGAATTTTGAGTCAGAGGCTAGGGGCAGGGTCCCCGAACAAAACCCTACATCCTCCCACTGTCTTTTGGATCATTTCTGAGTTAAAGTGTCAAGATGGGATACCTTAAATAAACCCCCTTCTTCAGCCTGGGCAACCGGGAAGTATCATTTACCCTTGCAGCTCACCGGGTAGAGCGCGAATTTACTGACGGGAAGGTCGATGGTTCAAACCCAACCTCCGCCTCTAGACTACACCTGTCTAGGCTTGGGCTATCTAGCAGTATCCCAGCCCTTGTGCTTCCTTTTGATGGCATGGCAGCTAGGCGCCGAAAGTATGCTACAGCTGAACAACTTTTTTATGCACAACACTACATAAAATCAATCGTCACGTGTGGTTAATGTATGGAATTAACCTCATCCATATTGTCAATCGAGAGGGAGCTACGACCTAAAGCTGTCACCTGACGTGGTTGCCGGACTTGCGTGCTGCAGTGATCCCGTGGACTACTGACTGGAACTTCACCCACAAGATGCATTCAAAGGGGGCAGTCTGACCAGAGCAGCGACACCCCGTGCTACGAGTAATCGGGCTACAAAGTAGTCAGGGAGTAGAGTCATTCTATCCTGGAGGCGGTATGCGACGAGCATATCCATATGTATGGAAACAGCGATGCTACTTTCCCCCGATGAAAAAAATCGCTCAGCTGTAGCGCCCCTTCGTGCTTAACTGCAATGCCACCCGAAGGTTGCATGAGGGCTGGAATACTGCCAGGTTGCCCAAGCCTAGATGGAAGTCGAGAGGCAGAGGTCGGGTTCGAACTACGGACCTTTCGGTCAGTAAGGTCGCGCCCTAAACACTTGGGCCACCTCGCCCCCTCCCCCGATAAAGGAGTGATGTGAAAAAGTAGGCACTAAAAGCCACCCAGTGGATCGCTCAACGTCTGATCGTGTCCGCCGGCGCGCAAGTCAGTATGGAGTCTGGTGTCCCTCAGAAGACATCTGCTGTACGCAGTCACAATAGCGCATTACTTCGTACGCTCGGGTTAGGCCAACCCATTAAAGCCAAGCAACTCAGCCCATCGAGTTATCGGTTCCGGACAGGGTCTTTGAAGAAAACGATAACACTCGCTGTCTCGCAAGTTAGGCTTTTCAGTCAAGGGCTAAAGGTAGGTTACCTTAACCAAAGCCCATTCTTCCACCCGGACAACCAAGTATCAATTGCCCGCACACTTATTGTCTACCGATATCCCTCCCCAATCGCTTCTCACCAAACAAACAAGAGTTGCTAAGTTATTTGAGTGCAGATGGGCCAAGTAACAATAAACAAGATAGCATCTTGCTAAATCCACAAGACCCTTCTACGTAGGAGATTTCAGCGTCGGCAATCCACACTGAGTTGGTAAACAGGTAATGCTTGTCCAAGCCTTCCACTCCCGAAGCGACGACTCGTGGAATATATGGCATGGGAAATGCGCCTAGTAGCAGACTTGAAGTATTCTACTGAAATCGTACTGTCATCTGCGATAGGTTTGAAGGCAGTAAACGTGTTTCCCCAGGGAAACCAGTAGGACCATATTCATGTAAGTAGCGATGCTAACTTCCCCCGAGGAGGGACGGGTTAGAAAAGGTCGGCCCTGGAAACCGCAGTCTGATCGCCCCATAGCTGACCATGACCGCCGGTACATTATTAAATGCGGCCAAAACATTGTCTTAAAACTAAAGTCTCGTGCTGCCAAAAGGCATCTGCTGTGCACAGCCAAATCAGGATGGGAGACAGCAATGCCCGACCTCCTGTATGCAAGGGCCAGGCCAACCTCCCTGCAGCCGAGCAGGCCAGAGTTTTGAGTCATCCGGTAGGGCAGGTTTCCCAAAGAAAACCCTACTACCCGCTGCGTCGCAGGTCATGCCTTTGAGTCAGAGGCTGGGGGGTAGGGCACGAAAACAAAACCCTGCAGCCGAGCAGGCCAGAGTTTTGAGTCATCAGGTAGGGCAGGTTTCCCAAAGAAAACCTTACTACCCGCTGCGTCGGTCATGCCTTTGAGTCAGAGGCCAGGGGCTAGGGCACGAAAACAAAACCCTACATCCTCCCACTGCCTTACGGATCAGACTTTTGGGACGAAGGTCGGGTCCCTCAACCAAGCCCTCTTCCTCGGCCTGCACAACCGGGAATCCCACTGCCTTATGGATCAGACTTTTGAGACAAAGGTCGGGTTCCTCAACCAAGCCCTCTTCCTCGGCCTGGACAACCGGGAGGTTTCATTTGCCCGCACAGTTCTGTGTCCACCGATGTTCATCCCCAACGCATTCCCACGATACGAGCGAACGCTGCTCGGTCACGTGACTGTCAGTTATCTGACCGAAGGGCCTCTTGCTCTCCACGGCCTATGAATAAACAAAACATCCCATGGCAATAACGTGGCTTTTTACAGCTGACGATGACGACTATGATGGGCGGTACGAGCGAAACCCTTCTGCATCCAGCACTGAAGACCAAACGCGAACAGGACAAGCAGCTAAAGGGAAAGCCATCTGGTTTCACAGCTGGGTACCGAACACCGTTGAGGCCAGGCGGATTTTCAGACTGACCAACAACCTCCGTAGACGGGAAACCAAACCATTCACTTCCCTGCAAGGAGACTGACTTAGTTTGCAAGATGCTGGCAGCGTCCCTCTTTCTCACGGGTATTACTGACGACCCAGGATGGAAAACGTCACGAACAGTTCGCCTATAATACACTTACGGACTCTGAACAGTATTGCTGCAGATTGGCAGGGATGTAAACGTAAGTGTTAAAGCATTCGCCTTCATTCGCCATAGGAATCATAACTATGAACTTGGTGAAATCTTTACAAGATACTGAAATCCTACAAAAAAATACCGGTAACTGCAATCAGCCTCGAGGCGGTTGTAAAACTGCTGAATATTGTGCAAAACGCAGCCGTCCGCCTCGGCAGACCGAACATTTGTCAAGAGGACTCACAAAACAAGTCTGGAGACTGCAAGAGCGGTAAACCATGACGCTCCGGGAGAAACATCTCCATGCGGAGGACGAACCCGCGTACGTGCTGACCGCCCGGAGCAACTCACCTAATACAAGCACCCCAAGCGCGGGAAATCAGGTGGCCATCAGTGGATTAAAAGTAGCTTTAGGTCATTGTTTCATGGGCTGTTATTTCCTGTTGGTTCGTGATAGTTGTGACCCAGACCCACGACATTGAAAGGATGGATCGATGTACTGGTTTCCAGATTGTTATCCGGGTTTGACAGTGGTCAAGCAAGGTATAAGTCATGGACTCACGGATTGATACACACGGCCAAGTACTCAATCCGTGTTTCCTGCGTGGGGTGTGTTCGTTTCACTGAGTAGCATTCGTCCATCTATAATGCACAAACGAAATAGCGCCGTAGTGCCGCTCTTGAAATTTTCAGTAAGCTGATTAACCCGAGGACTCGCACAACGAAGCATCCAACAGTAATTTTCGCTGTGTCTAACATGCAGCATTGGTAATATTTGGAAGATGTCTTTCCAAAGCAACAACTTATCGAAATAAGAAAGGCCAATTTCCGCTAAAGATGCATGCCCCACTCTTAAGAATCTCTTTGTCATGCCCTGCAAATGCAAATGGGTTCTGAGACGAAAGACCTTTCAGCCCAGCCCGGTTCAAGCAAGACATGGTCAATAATCAGGTTCCATCGAAGACGGCGGCAGATTGTGCAGAGAGATAAAGCGTTTCCAGACGTGTTCCATATTCAGAAGATTGGAGGCTGAAAGCTATTATTGAAGTGGCTCGTTCGACGTAACACTCAGTGACTGTTACGCCCTGCTTGTGCCCTCAGTAGACGACTGAATTGGTGTATTCAAGGAGCGGTCTAACGTGGGCGCATTAGATACCTGGAAGTCTAAGTGCGTACTAAGGCGGAAAGAGGTCTGAAGCATTAGAAAATGCTACTAATACCTTGAGTTAGTAAGAAAGAGATGCACGTAGACATCTAATTGGTTAAACTCTTTGTGTTGTATATTAATGTGATATTTCTGGTCCATTCTCAACATGGAGGATGAAAGCTGTGGTGCTTTCTACCTTTGTTTTGCTTCCATTATAACATGACGTATTTTGTCAATTGTACGACCGTTTTTTGGTTGATTACAAAAACTACAAAAAAGCGCACTTGTACAATTTTACGCAGTACAAACCTGGTCACGTGCTTTGACTCTCTCTTCTGATTTCGCTCGCACTTACAGCGGTCATTCGCGAGTCTATGTGTTATCTCTGGCATCAAAACGTTCCAGACTATCTTCAGAATCTATTATATGTGGGAACTGTCCAGAAAAAGACCCTCGGACAACCATGATTATAATATTATTCATCCGCTGACCTGAGTCAATGACGAACTATTTTAAAGTGAACAATTAATAGTGGTTCTGTTCCATCTGATCTCTTTAGTATTGTATTATTTTTATTCCTTTGCCATACACCCTTGGTAAAGTAACTTATTGGGTAGCAAAACCAATACAAATCGTGTTTCAGGCCTCCTCCAAAGGAAATATGGACGCAATGCCGTTACTCAGAAGAAGGGAACAGTGCAGCTATCACTGCTTTGCGCCGCCAACATCTGTTTGGAAGACACTGACGTTGAAACTTCTGGAGTTCAGTTCGTCCGCAAAAAAGTAGACATTGAACTGAAAGCACATTTGGAAAGTCGTTGATGGATATCAGATAGGGGACCAGTCCCAAGCCTTCAGCACCTCCAGCGGTGACCGGTACCTACAGGGAGTGGGTTGATCTGACTTTCAGTCAGAAAGCTGCTAATGAAAGTCATGCCTTGATCTAGCGTATGCGTTCTACTTGGATCCCATAACACGCAACTTGATGAAGCAGCGGAAAGTGTAGTTCCATATCGAGTCCCTTAAGAGGCGTCCAATATTGGCCCTTTGCATTCGGCCTGGACCAGGCCATCCCCAAATGGGTGCGTGGTTGACAGACAACAATGATTCGAGAGGAATCCGCGTTGTGCTTGGAGTAGGAAATTGTAGGCAGTCCCATGTTTTGGGTGAGCGCGCTTCAGCACATCTTTAGTCCCCTTGAGCAGTATTTCCCGTGTGTTCGAGAGGAATCCGCGTTGTGCTTGGAGTGGGAAATCGTAGGCAGTCCCATGCTTTGGGTGAGCTCGCTTCAGCACACCTTTAGTCCCCTTGAGCAGTATATCCCGTGTGAGCAACGAACCTGCAGCTCCTGGGTGGTAAGCGGCCACAAGATTTCCAGACTGGCGTGATGGCCACTTTCTTCCGGGTGGAACGGTGGTTGCCTTCATCAAGTAAGTAACAAAGCTCAGGTAGAAAGCTGGACCGCGTGTCCTTCAGAAATATTGGATGGACCGCATCTGGCCTCAAAGCGTCGAAACGTTTCACCATGAGCAGAAGTTGGTTAAAGTTTCCTCCGTAAAATCACAGTTCGTTAGAGGCCACTTGCTTCTCCACCTTGCCAAGATTGGAATTGATGTGGCAGCTGCGGAAAAGATGCACGCCGGTACAATCTGCCCGTTAGATTGTCATCCAGCTGTAGCGCACTTTCGAAGTCTAACTTCCATGCCACCAGAGAGAGGTACGACGGCTGGGATAACGAAAGGTTCCTCAGGCCTACACAGTGATGGTCGAGAAACAGCGGTTGTTGATTCCCACTGTAAATCAACGATGAACAAAGGTAACTCTCCTTGTTTTCTGACTACTTATGAGTAACATGACTTGCACCTGTTTATTATGACACCGTTTCGTTTTCTTGCTGCACGTTTACCCCCCGTTTCTTTCCTACTTAAGGCCTGCCTATCTCTCAGTAACTGATGTCAATATTTCCATGCCCGTCTATCAAGGCCTGCAAGTTCGTCTCGATTGCACCTATATTTGAGCGCCCACTCCGATGGAAAAGCGGGCCGACAGGGTGTCGAACCCGGATCCTCCGGACGGCCAGCGGACGCGCTACCAACTACACCGACCTGACGCCCTGAGCGGCTGATTATTTTGTATTACCCATGTATCACGCCTGCCAGATCGCCTTTGCTGAGCTTTGTTTTAAACGGACGAAACCGCGCAATCTGACCTGTCACGCGACACGAGCGGCTGCGTCGGCACCGACCGAAAGATAGTCCCTCACATTCCGAACTTGCTGACTCCCGCGTCGTCACGGCCAGCCCACACTGTCAGACTGCCCCTATATGCATGTTCGTACATCGTTTGGTACATACTTGTTGTTGCCCCTATAGAAATCCGTGCTGTGACAGTGATTACTTCCCGCTCCTGTTGATTGCATCATTGTCGATTGTACGTTTGCCTAATACATGATGCCAACTAATCCGTTTGTCTGTAGAACCACTTCCTGTCGGTCCTAAATATATCACCTGCTGTCCCACGTCTGTCTGCTCCTATTGACTACCGGCTACGAACTGCGTATAATCTAATAGTCGCAATCGTCCTGTAAGATCCATAACCATCCGGATCTTACAGCGGTCGTACTCGAACCACGAACCTTCCGGTCAGTAAGTTCACGCTCTAGCCACTGGGTCATCCTGCACCACAATGACGCGTGGGCAACCCGTTCCTGTCCCTGAAGGAAAAAGCTGCCTTTATTCGCCCTCAGTGGCGTTTCATTTATTTAAATGAAATAATTTTTCCTGACAAGGCAGACATTTTTCCCGCTAAGGCTGATCACATTTAAAGCTGGTACTTGAGTGTGAACTTCACCATGGCTCCTACATTGTCCGCCAGGCCATTAAGTGGTGTTTGTGTCTTCGCCCGTGTAATGCTTGGCTCAACGTGCTTTTAAAAGCACAAGAGTCAACAACTGTTAACCAGTTGGTCGCAAGTTTGGGATCGGTTAAAGTTGTCACCCAGGCTTAGCAAGTTCCTACTTCCATATCCCGCCCGTCTTCTTCGACACCACTCCTGTACCTCTTTACGATGTACCGTCGATCAAAATCCCGCTTCATGCAACCAATTATTTTCTTCTTATTGTTGTCTACCATTGCACCTCGGATCAACCGGAATGTGACCAACCCCTCACACAGCATTTGAGAAACTCCTACAGCTACCAATTCACAAATCTCTATAGGGCAAGTGATTTAGTCGCCCCCAAAGTTCCCTGCGTAGAGCTCTAGCGCGACAAGTCTAGTGAACATTTTGTAGCAGTGCTGATTAAAGCCTTCTGACAGAACGCTTAGTCGCAACACGTCGTTGCACACACCAGATACCATGTTCCCTGGATTCGGTCATTACTACACAAAGACAATTAGTTGACCAGGTAATAATTAGCGCTCCATTTGAACATAGTGAGCACTGTGTGCTGACCATCAATTTCATTTTCTACTGGGCCAGAAACCGCAAAATTCAAACTTGGATCCGAAACGATTGCCGCACAAAATTGTCAAAAATGGGCTTCTTTTTGTCCCATGTCAGGCAGGATGCCCCTTTTGCCCTCCCGTTTTTTGTACTCCACTCTCGAATTCTAACGATTTGATCTTGCTTCAGCTCGATATTTCTCCAAAAGAAAAAAAGCAGCAGTAACTGTTCTTACCTGCCCGTACGAGTTTATGACTGACCGTGTCCACATAGGATAATGCCCAGTGTCCACGACACTGCTACTCTTCCGCAAAATCCACAGTACCCAAAAATTTCGGCAGTCATGCTTCATTCTGACTGTCAAATTAGAATCATGCCTGATGGTATGCCACCCAACGGTAAGAAATAAGCATTATTAATAAACTGGAATCAGCTTAAGTGGAAGTGCCCTACAGGAACATCACTAGCCCAACGTCTCACTAAAGGACTGGCGCGCGGTGGGATGGACTGCTAGCAGCCTAGAAAGATTCAACGTCGTCTAACTCAGGGCCATCCGAGATCACCTCACTATCAAAAGCTTGATATTCACAGTTCAACACGTACTCCCCCAAAAACAGTTCTTGCGTGATGAACATGATCGTATTTATGGGCAGCTTAAACCAAGCTAGAAGGTGAGAGAC